CCTCTGCTTCTCTGGGCAGTCTGTTCCTGGGGCCTGGCATTGGCTCTGAGCGGCAGATGGACAATAGGAAGAGGCAAAATCAGGCGATGCTTTCCCTATTGTTTCAGTTGTTATTAGCTTGCTCTCGTGTATGGAACCATCAGATGTTGCCCGCAGACTCGGGACCTGTTTCCCTTTGGTTTTAGGTTCCCATAGAAGTTAGAGTCCCCGAACACTGGTGTTTCTAGCGTGGTCTCCTCCGTTAGTGGAAATTTCCTATTCCAAAAGCCGTCCATATGCTGGAGTGGGATGAACTGATCAGCTCCTGCTATGACACAGCAGGGACGCATCCGAGTGTGGCTGCAGCCACGTCGGAGCGATGCTGGGGTATTTTTAATTAGCACTTTCCTCCAGGAAATCAGTGCACTCGGAGCAATGGGAAGATGAAGGCTCCCGTCCCAGCCTTGCTTTGGAGCTGCCTGCACAGGCGTCTACAGACGCTGACATGCAGATGGCAGTGCTGAAGAGTGCGATGGTGCTAATTTCCCTTGTGTGGCATTACCCAGAGACATCAAGCTGTCAGCGTTCAGATGACACAAGAAGTGAAGCGCTGCAGATTTTGTTTGGCTCCTCTCTGCCTGGTTTGTTCCCTGTTGTGGTGGGGTTTTTCCCCTCGTTGCTGTCCAAAACGCGAGGCATGCTTTCTGATGGGAAATCAATAGAGTGCAGGCTCGCTTTAAGCTTGTTTCATGCGTGCAAGATGACAGGAGACATTGCAGACAGCAAAGCACCTCAAGTGTTCCCCTGGCTGAGAGCTGCTTGGAAATGCAGAGGCTTTTTTCAGGGAGCAGCAGAGTTGATATTCCTGGTGGGAACAGGGAATGTTGGCTGGTGCATGAGCCACTTGGAGCTAATGTCACAGGAGGCGTTCAAGGCAGACATCCTGCTTTTCTCTCTTGTCATTCCTGTATAGTGCATACATGGAAGAGCGCATCCCTCAGTCCTCTGAATGCTGGATCTGCACAGATTTGGAATAACCTGTTTTCTTTGTAGCCTCTTTATGGGTGCTTGGCTAGAGGCGATACCCACATTGTGTGCTAGAGCAAGAGGAAACCTAACCATGCAGAACTCCAGAAACACTGGCACAGAGAAGGACCCTTGCTTGGAGTATGAGATGATGGAGTATGTGTGCTGGAAGAGCTGAGTCTATTCATAGACTTGCAAATGCCGGTTGGAAGGGGCAGAAGTGATGCATGGCTGCAGGAACAGGCACAGCTCAGCTCTCTCTTGTGATCTCAGAAGTAAAGAGTCTCTTTTTCAGGCTTACACAGCTGGGGTTTTGCCTCTGATCAAGGCAGCAGTGCCGTTCCCTCACTGCCCCTTGACTGCTGCATGTACAGTGGAGTTCTCTGAACCTACAGGTTGCTGGGCTCTTAGTTTCTTGCACAATAGGCACCCACAGTTACACTGCACTGGCCCATAGACACTCCCTTAATCCAAATAACAGCACACAAAGGCTGTTTACTTGGGACACGCACTGTTCCTTGGGGTATGCCTTCAGAAACCACACGGTCTGCAAACATAATATGTAGTGATGACCTCTCATGACAAAGTAATTGGGTGATTTATAATAAATGATCATCTATCTTGACTCGAACAAGCGTGCCAGCTCTTGCATGCCAGGGAGAGAGCAGAAAATAAAAGCCAGCTTAGTGATTTCTGTCTCTTATCATGGGACTCTTCCTCAGATTCAAACCCAGGCACTTCCAGGTTCTGTCCTAGGAGAGGTGACCCATCTGTCATCTAGCTTGAAGTGGATGAACTGCATTCCAGGCTGTGTAAAAAGAGTGTCTTTCAAGTTGAACCTCCCTTGGTAATCAGCCTATCAGTTTGTACTGATAGAGATCACATATGGTATTTCATTATGGACTGATGCTTGCCCTGGTCCTTGCAGCATGCTGTCTACTTGGCAGCTGCTTTGCATCCTGGAGCTGGCTGCAGTTCAGTGGCAAAAGAATTCTTAACTGTCATTGTAAAGCACTTTGGGATGAATGGTGTTGCATAAATGCAAGGTTATGATTAGGTATTAATCTGTTCTGGAATAATTAAGAGTTTTCAAATGTGCTTTTTCTAGTAAGTCTTATTTAATACGGAGGGGAGTCGATTTGTCACTGTCTTGCTATGACTTTCTCCTACCCCTCCAGCTAGCACTGTGCATTGCAGATTATGCATAGCAGGAAAGGAAATGGTTGACTGTCGATGGCAGCGTGATTACACAGGTCCCTGGGATTTAAAAATCAAACCAAAGCTACTTATCCTCCAGTGGCTTTTGGGATTCGGCTTCCAAATGTTTTCCTCCAAACAAGTCTGTGACCCTGAGCCTACAAGTCTGTGTTACACAACATCTTCTAGCTGCTGGGAGCAGCCCTGGCTCTGTGTGTGACTGACCCGTGCCCTGTGGCAGATGTGATGCTGCGGGTGTTCCGACTGGCTGCATCCATCTCGGCTGCGCTGCTGGTGCCAGGAGGCTCTGGAAGTCTTGCAGAAGAACTGACTTTGAGTCTAGACCCTTTGCCTGCTGTTCAGTCCCTTTGGAATAAAGCCAGATCTGATTAGAGGCACTAAAGGGCTTTAATTACTTGCCTTGTGTACCCTTAATGAGCAGAAGAGAAAGGCCTCAGGAGTCAGTTCTTGTTTTTCAGCTTTGTGCTCTGCTTTTGGCTTTGGCTGTACAGCAGCGATCCCATCAAACTTCACTGTACAATCCTTCCCACAGATGACAACAGCTGCCTGGCTCTTGCTGTATCAGACTGACCACAGATCTATTGGGAAGCTGAACCCTGCTAATACATTGATTCTGGACATTATCTGTCCTAATATTCAGCATTATTATACCAAATGCCTTGCAAGCATCACCTTCCAGATGATTCACAACAGATCCCAGGGTTGTGCTACAACACACACATCTTGTATGCTGAAAACTACAGAGAAAAAACCCATAGAGACCTGAGTTGTTTTATTTCAAACAAAGCTTTGGGTGGGGTGAAGCACTTGGAGTGTTTCTAGAAGTACTGATCTGGTTTTATGCTTGCTCTTTTGTATCAGGTATATCCATCAACCCGGAAAGTCTGTCCCTACACAGGGTGATGCTTGGGAACTTCACCCAAAGCATGAAGGCCCTGTGAATGCAGGCTTTACCACAGACTGCTTAGTCAGATCTCTCTTTAATTTTAGATAGAAAGACTAGAGGTAGCCCTAGACATGATTAGCTTGTTTGGTAACATTCATGCCAGCCAAGGCAGTAGATGATGTTTATTTGCTTTGTATATAATACCTATAGCTTCTTTAGAATCAGGAAAAGAAAGGACCGAACTTACTTAAAAGTTGGCTCATTTCTTATTTCAAGCTGATGCCTGGTTGGGATGAACTAGCTCAAACAGGCCTGTGCAATTAAAATAGTTCATAGTAGAACTTCCAGTTCCATGTGTACAAACAGATAGGGAGCAAAAACAGAATGATGGGCTTAATGTGAAGAAATTACAGTCTTCTACTTCCCTGTGGGAGCATCGCTCTCCTGTCAGCTCTGCCACAGCACTGACTTGGAATTGGGAAGGTTCTAAATAGCAAGCATCGAACTTGCACCAAAGCAGAGCTCTATCATGGGGATTTTGGTGGAACTATTGTGTTACTTAGACAAAACCAAGCAGGTGTATCTTTAGCTCAGAAATTCTGTTGGAAAACTCTTTGTGAGAGATGCCACCTTGCCAGCTTAGTGCTGTAGGCACAACAGGATCACATTCCTGCAGCATGGGAAACCGGAAAACAGAATGTTGTGTTATAGGAGAGTTACCTGATTAAACACCCTTATGGCTGAGAAACTATCAGGTTTGTCAGGGAGCTCTCTCAACCAATATCATGAAGAACCTAATAATTCAACATGTACAAGATCTCACTTCATCATTTTGATATAATTATATATCCAGATTTACTACAACCCAGAAGACTATGTAGTCCAAGCCTTTTATTTCATGAGCTGACATAACACACACATACATATATATACACATACATTATATATATACACACACACCAATATACATTTAAACAATGCAGAAGAGGTAGTACCATTAATTAGGAAATATACAACATGCAGTAAGAATACCAAGACAATTCATCTCTGTCCTCATTGCACCTCTTCCAAATATCACAAGAGGCTCTACAATGATTTATTCTGCATCAATCCAATTTTACAAGTGTGCTCTGTTCTCTTACATGCTTGTGCCTTGAGTTTTCTAAAGGTGATCCTTCAGGTGGCTAGCTGAAGGGGACAGTAACTGGTTCATAAGCTAAGTGCTATAGCTGTAACAACTTGGATAATGAGCTTTGAATCCATTACTTCTTATAGGATTGTCTGTACACTTCAGGATGTAAGGCTAGGCATGAACAGCAAGTATTTAACCTGATGTCTTTTTGTTCTTTCTCTAAGACGTGACCAGGTGACACAGCTCCCCTTCTAGAGGGATGTCTGCCCTGCAAGAGGTAGAAAATAACATCAAAACCTGTATGGGTTTTGGTGTTGACCTTAGGAAAATCTCCAGTGTAGCCTTGAAGTTGTAGTAGATGGGAAGTAACAGTATTTAGGGTTTATCAGGGAGGGGGAAGTGAACTTGATCTCTACAAAAACATGATCCTGAAAGACGAAGATGGGAATACTATAAGATAATTCCTGAGTTTACATCAAGGAGCATCCTAGTATGCCCCAGCTGCCCAGAGAACAAGCAGGAGAGCCCAAACATAAAGCCAAAGCTCCAATATTTTCAGCCACTTACTCAGCAGCTCTATATACTCCAAATAGAAACTCTGGGTAATGGTGTGTCTGACCACAAGAGCAGAGCTCTTTCATAACTTCATCAACCAGACCGACTCCTCCTTAAGGTTTTTAAGCTATACTTACAGCAACTGAGAGACTTTGTACTGTGAATACTGCTTTAGGAAAGAAATAAAAATACAGTTAAGAAGGATTATCAGCTGTTGAGACTTTAATGTAAATGCAGCTTCCATCTGCTTTTCCAGCTTCAGCCAAGGCGTGTGTCTGTAGTCAGAAGATGCACACTAGGCAGATTCCAAGAGCCAAAGGAAGGCTACAGTGAAAGAGGAGGATGAGATGTTCCTTTTTTAGGACTGTTTTCCAGATTTCCTGTATTATTTAAGCTCTGCTGGGCTAGCAGGAAAAAAAAAAAAAAGTCTAAGCAAAGCAGCAATGCAACTAATGGAGGGAAGATATTGTAGTATCTCGTAGATCATATTTATCTGATATGCTCCTCCTCAGAGATGCAGGTTGTATCTTCATCTGTGCTCTCCTCCAGATCTGGCAAGTTGCCCCAGAGCAATACATTGACACCTGGTGGGAAGGAGGTAAGGAGACAAAGGAGGGAAGAAGAAAGAAACGCAGCTATTTTTGGATTGTGACCTTATTTTTACGTTGCACAACTGTGTTTTCAGAGAAAATAACGACTCCAGTCATTGCAAACCCAGGTAAGTCATGTTCATCATACATACGCTGAGACTATTTCCTATTTTTCTTCCAAAGTGATCTTGAGGGCTGGTGTTTACAGCATAATTAGGAGAATAAGTCCCTGCCCACAGATGTATTTATATAGCTCATTCATGTAGCTACTGATAATCCCCTCGTGGCTGATTTATTTTGAAACGCATTGATCTAAACCAGAGGGTGACACTGAAAGCTTTAGACAAGGAGTTCCTCCCTTCTGCAAGGAGGGGGGATGATTTGTCAGAACGCTATGCATTCCTCAGGACTCAAGGCAAACGATTGCTGACACTTGGCATCCAAACAACACCTACCTGTAGAAACCAAGCAGCACGAGCTGTAACTTCATCTTGAGCTAATGAGGACTTGGTTATACAGGGGCAAAGTGACAGCGTGACTCACCCAATGAGTGTCCCTTGGACAGCTGCTTAGTAGCCCAGGAGATACTGCTATAAATAGCACCTGGTGGCTGTGTATGTGCTCCTTTATGATAGTGCTTCAGAAAATCCTGACTTCTGCCCACAGAAGGGGAGAGTTAAATTGTTTGATGAAGAGATATTTCCACTTACTTAGAAATTTTCATTTACAAAGGAGATGCAAGGAGTTCATGAGATTAGCACCCCTGTAACACTTGCCGTATACCTCCATATGTTACACTCCCTCCAGATGCTTTAACTATATTGAGATGCCTCAATAGAAGGAGGTCCTAGAATTCCAGGTTTTAGGGAAGAGAAGCGTTCCTTACCAGAAGAGTCTAGTCTGTTGATGCCAAAGACTGCTTGGCTGTGAAACATCCAGAAGTGGCCATTATTGCAAGACAGCAGGCAAGGTTTGCAGGGAGAAATCACATGATAACCAACAACGTTACCACTAGGAAGACAAGGGAAATAATAAGCAACATGAACCTAAGCAGACAGATGTTGTTGGCTTTTGCAGCTAAAGCTAATGTTTAAATAGCCAAGGTATTGTAATGCTCCTATTTTGATAAAGTTAAGGGAACATAGTTAAACAAGCATCTTAAATACAGATAGAACATCTGTTGGGAGTTACAGAATATCTAAGGTTTAGATCTTTGGCATAGAGAGCCACTTAGTAACCTGAATTGTGTAATCAGATTAGTTTACATACCAACAAATGGTGGGGTATTTGTTTTTTTGAAGCCCAGTGATTCCATTGGAATCAGAAGTTAATCACACACAAAACATCCATCTGTACAGAATCACTGTGCACGGGAGAGTATCAGTAGTAGGAGCAATGAGACTGAGACTATCAAAGCCTTATCTCCTCTCCCAGGGTGAAACCTTGAACAATCATTTTTCTATTTTCTCAGCCACACTCTGGTGGGATATTTCTCTATTTCTACCTAAAAAATATAATCCTGTGTTCCTATCAGAACCCCCCCATCCTTTAAATCCGAACCAGGCACAAGTCTGGATTATGAAGTGGAAATTAACTGTGAGCTCTTTGAGAGTTGTTGTTTTTACCTTAAATATCAGAAATTAATAAAGAGGATAAAAGAACTCCAAGAACTTTAGTGACAGCATGTTCCATCTGCTAGCAACAGCTAGATCTGCCAAGAGGATGTTCTATTAATTAGAATATGAGTAACTACTTCTTCCTGCGGCCTTATTCACACAACTCTCTCTGTGTTGAAGCAGACATTTAATCAGGCAGGTGGCACACAAGCTTTCCCATCTACTCACAGTACTGACAAGGTTGTCACATCTCCACTTGGGACTTGCACAGAAATAGACTGGCAGCCAAGCCCAGAAGTAGTGGGCTGAGTTTCTATCAAGCAGCATTACATTTGAAGTAGCGAATGCAATCTGTTCATTCAGCCCTCAGCTCTTCGCGCTGCAGTAGGCTGCAGTGGAGAGGTTGGAGACATTGTGGTGTGCTTGAGGAGGCATTAGAGTCATCCAAGGGCGTTCTTACCACTTTAAACACGCGATGTTCTTCAGTTTGCATTTGCAGGTATTGGTAAAATAGCAGCTTCCAATGAAATCAACAGTGCTAGACGGGAAGAAAGTCAAAATACTGAAGTTTAGACGTGGCTCTGATTCCTACTATGATGTTTTGATAATTCAGGTCTGAAATCACACAATGATGTTACCATTAGTCTTGTATGTTTGGTTTATTTTAAACCCTCCCAAGATCACACAGCCCCATTTCCCTGTCAGCTACCAGCCAGGCTCATATGGAAACTAAAAGACACCCATGTGACGTTATATGAATCAGAATCACAAAGTGGTTTGAGTTGGAAGGGACCTTAAAGCTCATCCGGTGGCACTGGCAGGGACACCTTCCACTAGAGCAGCTTGCTCTGAGCTCCATCCAGCCTGGCTTTGAGCACTGCTAGGGATGGGGCAGCCACAATAGATCCTGGGTCCTCACAAGTGAAACCACAAAGCGCTGCCTCTCTTAGTGCTTGACTAACACATGCTCATCACCGCAGGCTGCAGGGCACTGTCAGTCCAAAACCTGATTAGAGACATTGCCCTGGCTCCCGGTGAATCTCAGGGAGGCTATGGAATAACAGCTTAAAGGCTAGGACATCTAAAACCAGACCTTTGATTCCTTATCTCCTTTTTAACCCGTGCTTTCTCATTAACATGTTGTTTTGCAACCTGATTTCCTTAGTATTCAAATGCTGTTATGGGAAAGCAGCAGGCAGGCGGCGGGAGGAGGGGAGTCACCCTGGAGCCAGTGCGCGATCAGGTTTGTTCTGTTTACGGGGCTTTATTTCAATTTCTAATCTCTGCTCCAGGAAGGAGCTGCCGGAACTCCCTGTGGCTTCATCTGCCCCAGGAAGAGCTCAGGTGAGGGCTTTGATTCCTGGGTGAGGGACAGCTTTGCTCTCGCTGTCCCGCCGGGGCTGAGGAAGAGCCGAGTGGGACTGGGGGTTCTGGGGCCTTTCCCTATAGGGACCCTGTGCGTCCCGGCCGCCCCCCGGAGCCCGGCGCTTACCCCGAGGGCGGGATGTCGGTGGAGTAGAGATCGATGTCGGTGTCTGCCAGCAGCACGGCCTTCATCCCCCGCGTGCTCAGCACCTGCTGGCAGAACCGGCAGCACAGCACCGACACGCATCGGTCATCGAAGGTGCAGCTGCTGACTGACATGGCGGCGCCCACCGCCGGGCCTCGCCGCTACCGCTACCGGTCACTCCCGTCAGTCCCGTCCCGTTCCGTTCCGACCGGTCCGGCAGCCGTCAACGGCCACGCTCCCTCCTGTCAGTTTGAATTCCCATCCTCCACCTCCCATTGGGCGCACCAGGCATCACCCTCTCTATCTGATTAGTGGAGATGCGCAGTGGGTCCCGCCCTCTCCTTGCACGCTATTGGAGGAGACGGGTGGCACCACCCCCACCACCTGGATATTGGTGGAGGGGCACACCCTGCCTTGCTCCCATTGGCCACGCCGGTAGTCTATTTGCATTCCTCGTCCCGCCCCTGCGCAGACCTGGGGCGGAGGTTAACTGCGCGGCCTGGAGGGGCGGTGCCACGAGTGCCAGGCGGCGGGAAAAGGGGCGGGACAAGCCGAGAGACAGAGCCACTTTATTGGCTGCGGCTCCCGTCACTCTTGTCCAACACTCTCCTCTGATTGGGCTGGTCACGCGGTGGGGCGGGGTTGCGGTGGGCTGCTGAGGGGGACCCGGGTGGCGGGCGCCAGCGGCCGGAGGACGCCCGGCTGCGGGAGGCGGCTCCGCAGCGCCCAGGTAATGGCCCCGCTCTGCCGCCGGATCCCCTCCGCTTCCCGGACAGCTCCGCCGGGCGACTGCGGGCAGCCCCCCCCGCCTGCCCCCCCCCTCAGCGCGGGCCTGAGGCGGGGCGCGGGGCCACGTCCCCCAGCCCCGGCCCCCCCACGGGAGCCCCCTCCCGCTTCCTCTCCCCGCCGCCCTCATTGTTCTTCCCGGGCGGGATGCGGATCCGGCGGGTGCCGTGTTTATTTATTTCTTCCTCCATACGCGCATCTCCCGCGGGGGCCGCGGCCCCTCCCTCCCGGCACAAAAAGGGCGAAAAAGAATAAAATGCATTAAAAAAGCGGGAGAAAAGTTGCGTCCCGCCGAGGGCCGCTCCCCGCCCGCCTCCCCCCGCGCACACCGGCCCGCACACCGGAGCAGGGGCTGCGGAACCCCCCGGGAGCCCGCACCCCCCGCAGGAGCAGCGGATGGAGCCGGCGCGGCGGTGGGGGGGGGCCTGGGCTCGTCCTGCGCTTCCCGCGCCGGTGTCACTGGATGCAGGGTCCAGCGGGAGATGCTGCGGCTCCGCTGCCGGTCCCGCACCCGGGGAGCTCCTTTCCTCCCCTTCCCTCTCGGTTCCCCGGGGAGCCGCGTTGCGAACGAGCCCCTGCTCCCCCCGCCGGAGGGGCTGGCGGCTGCTGAGGCGTTCCCCGCCGGTACCTGGCCGGTCTGCGGGTCCGAGCCCTGCTCAGAGGACGGTTTGCGATGTCAGGGCAGCTTTTCTTTCCGTGGCACATTTGGGCTGTACAGCTTGTGGCGGCTGCCTGCAAGCTGGGATTTTATGTATCTGTGTAATGTATATATCGCTTTATTTGTGTTCGCAGGCATACCAAAGAAAACGGCTTCTCGTCCTCCGTTTGGGATCTGATTTACATCATCTCTGAGCCCATTTAAAAAAAAAAAAGGAAAAGGCAAAACCAAACCCACAGAGAACATGTTGTGCGGAAGGACTTCCACTCCCTGGCTGTGCTGTTAACGCTAGCAATCAGGAAGAGCCTTTGGGGGCTGCAGGATCTCGCTAGTCTGATGCTGCTGCTAAAGGTTTTGGTGCAGGGAGACAGAACTGCCGCCTCTTCCATGCACTGATCTCTTCACATCTGCATTTTGCTGCTGCTGTGCTCGTCTCACAGCCTCTCTCCATGGACTGATTTATTTTCTTTGCCCTTTTTGTTGGGGGGGGGGAAAGGCGAGCAGAAAATCCCGGCACCGCATTGAGAGGAGGGCAGTTGCATTTCTGCCTCGTGCTCCGGTGGATCGGGTCTGAGGTTCATCTGTTTTTGGGAACAGAAAACATGACGTCGCCAGCAAAATTCAAAAAGGATAAGGAGATCATAGCCGAATATGACACTCAAGTTAAAGGTAGGAATGGTTTTGTGTTCATCTCTTCCGCTGTTGCAGTCCTGACTGCAATTGTAGGAGTTTGCAGGAGATGTTTGGGTGGGGAAGGGAGAAATCATTTGCAGATTGCCTGGAATTCGCAGGGCTTTTTCCTAACACAATGCTGGATCGGGTTTGCAATGCTTTTGCTCGTCCCCATGGGCTCGGTTCCTACTATGGAATTGCTGTTTAAAGGTATCACGGGAAGGGCTTTATTTTACAGCATAGAACAGATTTCTGTTTTGAGTTCTGAGAGCCATATTTTTCTGTCTGCTGTTCTGAAATACGGCTTTGCATTTGAAATATGAGAGCTGCTTAATTGCTTTTTAATCCTCCTCCTATCATGGGAATCTGTTAAGAAATCTGTGTAGTGTCAGAGGAGCATATTGCCTCTGGTAGCCACAGGGACTGTGCTGAGGGTCCCTGGGAAGCTGCTTGTGCTAGAAACTTCCATTATTCAGGATTTTGCTCTTGGTGACTCCCTAATACCACTGCCTGGTTTTTCTTGCTGTGCTTTTGAGTGTGGCACCTTAAGATTGCAGCGTGTGTGCGTGTGTATTCACACGTATATAATGCATATGTATATACATGAATGCAACTAATGCATTAGTGTTATTGCCATCATCATAAGGAAGGCAATAAAGAGTCAGAGGCATATTTGCAATGACTGTGGAAGTCTCCTGCAGGATCCACTTGGCTGGGTTTCAGGCTAGCATGTGCCCTAGGTGGAAGAAAGGATGGTGAAATGCCTGCTTAGCTGCTGCTTTTTGCAAAGTTCTCATGATAATGTGGATTGAACAGATACTTCTGGCTTGGGCACGGCTTGAGCTGTGGCTGGTGGGAAGTTGTGAGATGCAGTGATTTATCTCATTGCTTCAGACTTGCTCCCTATGCTTGTAGCATGCAGGAAAGATGGCCCTTGGGCAGGGCTGGTGGACTTAAATCAATGTGAGTTAGAGAAATGCCATTTCCATGGGAGCAGGAAACCTTGATTAAACCTGGCAATTAAAACATTGCGTTGCAGGGAGGTATTTAGTTATTTCTCACTGGTTGGAAACCATTCAACCACGATGTCCTATGCGATGCGTGTCCTACGCTGACCCTAGTGCTCTGCACCTCCAAGCGGTTGCGCTGCTGCTGCTCGCAAGGTTTACCTGAGCAAATCTGCCATGGGTAGGAGTTTATTTTGATTATTTATCTCAATTTCAGGGTTCTCAAAGTTGGAAATGGAGAAGAACGTGTTTCTTTTTCACTAGTTTGGTTTCTATTCCTGTTTTCTGCCTGTCATTGGAAATGGGGATTGAAGTCTGTAAAATCAGAGGCTTCCATGTGCTTTCAGTATTTACCCCATCAGAAGGCGTGTGGTAGATATGAAGTCGTAGTCCCTATATTTGTGCATTGGATTCAGTAAGACACAAGGGTTTAGACTTAGCAAAGTGCATCTTCTCACCTCTCTTCTACTAGAAAAGAAATCTTTCCCTTTTCAAAAAAGAGGCCAACAGTGAAAGCCTTCACTGCCCATCACTGCCCAAACGATGCAGTGGCCTGTCAATCAGCCTGTAAACGTGGTCCCAAAAGCAAAGCATTGTAGTGGCATTTAGGCTTCTTTGCTTTTTTGCCTTCTGAGTTGTTCCTGTTGTAGACGTGTGGGGTCAAGAGGAGTGAGGCTGTGTAAGTGGCTTACGTGGAGCTGGGAGAAGAGGGTTTCCTTCCTGAATTAGTGTGAGGGCATCTAAGGGTTTGCCCGGGATATTCCTTCCTTGTGCAGTTCAGCTTTCCCTGCTCAGAACAGTCCAGAAGTGGCTGATGGGAGGTGCTCATCCATCTGTGCTTCCTTGGAGAGGGAGGTAGAGATGGGCCTTATCAGCTCAAGAATCCAGCATCAGAGCAATCCTTTCCCCATTGCCTTGTGTACTTTAAAGTTCAGGGGGAGCTTCCCTTCCCCATGTGGCTTCAACCCTTCACCAGCTGCTCTGGCAATAGGGATTGCTGTGTCTCTGCTTTTAGATACGGGGTTTGGGGGGAGCTTTTGCAGTTAAGCACTCATCTTAAAGTGTCATGAAACTTGCTTTACATCTCATAGGTACCATGCTGTGAGCTGGGTAGTGACCTGGCTCTCATGAGCAATGGGTCCTCCTGCCTCTCTAATGCCAGAGATGTGCTGCTTGCCCTTCCACAGTGGAAAGACGAGATGGGACTAAAGGCACACTCCAATCCAAAACCATGATGCTGTCTTTCCACTGAACACACTGGGATCCTTAACATAAAAGTGCTGGTGCCCTGATGGAATTCTGACTTGCTCTGTGGGCAATGCTGTTCGCTCTGACCACGCGTTGTTTGCTGTCTTTCCTCTTGTGTTGTGAAATGATGCCATGTGGGAGTGAGATGAGCTGGGTGTTGGTGTGCTTTGTAAATTGTGAGGTATCATCTGTTCCTCAGATGAGAAAACTCAGGTAGTTTTTACACTGGCGTTCAGGAGCTTACTGTGTTTCCTGGCTGTGCATTAGAAACTGTGTTTAGAGGCTTCATTTAAAACCATTAATCCACCAACACGTACTTAAGCACTGTAAATTATTACTAATGGAATGATTGAGCTTTGCTTAAAAGTTTAATAGCCTTAAGTTGTTAATCAAAACCTATTTAAGAGATAGCTTGGTTATGGCTGTTAGATGGTTGGTGTGCAGAGGGTTTGATCTTCTGTTGATGAGCTCGGTGATTTTTGTTGTAGGTGTGGAGGGGTGACAGGGTGTTGGTGAGTGAAACTCTCTGCTATCCCATGGCCATGAGCTGTAGGTATTTGTTGTCTTCTTCCAACAGCCAGTTCTATGCCTCTGCTGGGTTGGAGTTAGCTGATCCCATGGTTCACGTGTGCAGCTAATGGCAGAGGGGATCAAGAGTAGGATGAAGTGAATTTCTGAAGATGAAGACTATTTCCCTCTTACACATCGAACTTACTGTGCAGTGGTCAGGGGACATAGAGGGAGTGATGTGTTTCTTCCTAATTCCTTGTGCAGGGTGGTTGAGGACAAGCTGGTCCATGTGGCCCTCCTTGGAGGCTGCTGGAATCAGGCTGGAGAGAGCCTGAGTTACTTGGTCTGATCTTGGACCTGATGACCTCCTGGGCTCCCTCCCAACCTGAATTGTCCATGACCCCATGGATTCTAGTATCTGGAGGTTCAATTAAAACCTTTTCTTCTGCAGAAGTGAATTAACCCACAGACAGGGTGGGTTCCCTCGGGAACTGCTCTGACCTTGAGTCTTTTGCCTTTAGATGATGCAGGCAAGGTCCATGTTGTCTCTGGTTGCTTGGTTGTGTTGTCTACACTTGGATGCTTCGTGCTGTTGGGAAGGAGAAGAGAGGCTGCCGGTGTTAGTGGGCTCTCCTTGCAAGACGTGAGAGTGCTCCTGGCTTTGAGGAAGCTCTGCAATGGCTGCGTGTCATGCGGGAGGAATTCTTCTGACAAGATGACATGGGGGCAGCAGGGGAGGGAAGTGCTGCTTTGATATGTTTCTGTACCATGTGCTCCCAAAGATTGAGTTCTGTGAAGCTGGAAAGTGAGATTCTGTGGTCTCCATATGGAGCCTTTGATATCTCCAGCTCATCCCCTTGTCTGGATTGTCTCTCCCAATTCCTTTGTGCAAGTTGCGGTAAAGCAGAGATAATGAATTGATGCTGTGCAGTGTGTTCCATGTGAGATGCGGATGCTGCCTCTATCTGTCCCAACCGAGGCCTGTCACACTCATTTTTGGTTTAATGTGTTAAATTGGAGTGTACATTTGCCGAGGAAAGAAAAGCCAGTGATTTATCTCGTAATTCCTCTCTTCTTTCTCCTCATGTCCCGGGAGAGCCTTATATTTAATTAGTTTGTATAAAGCTTCAGTAAATAGCTTCATGGTTTGGGCTGCAGAGATGGAATCCTGAATTCTTTCACACATTGAGGGTTCATAAACCACTTGTGTCCTTGAGTCGTCTCTAGCAAAGGTTAAAATGCATCTCTTGCAGATCTTGCAGCACACCCCAAAAGCACCAGGAATATGGAGAAGAGATGAGGTGACTTATAGCAGGAGTGAGCACAGCACAGAGGTACCTACGTGGGTATTTACCCAAGTGTGTCTTCAACTAAGAACAGCTTTGGGCAAAGCCTCCCATCAGATTTAGCCTACTGGAATGTCTGAAACTGCCTTTTAATCTCCCCCAAATCGGTGATAAATTTCAGATAAGTCCCTCTTTTTGGTCTCTGGGTTGAACAACTGATGGCGCGTTTGATGGGATCGGGATCTTTTGCCTTTAATGCTGCATAAAGCAGCAGCTGTAATGTGGGGGCTAGAAAGGAAATGTGATGCTTTTGGTGGTGATTTGAAACAAAACTGGCATTTCTCTCAACTGTCGGTAGTTTCCCTGTTAACACTGCACATGCAGCACTCGTCTAGAGAAGGTATTTGTAGAACTGCCCTTAGATCACTGGTTTGAAATCACTGTAATGTGTTTTGTTGCTAAACCCTGGGGATCTTCAGTGCCATTGACCTTATGTATATATGGGATGATTTCTCTTTCATGTTTGTCTTCTGTTCAGGTCACTGAGCTGGTCACTGCGTGCTGTGGCACTGGCTGCACAGCCCAGCACCATGTGTGAGTGCTTCCCAGAGCCCCAGCTCCTGGCCACTTCCTTGGCAACCCCTGTTTAACACACTGTGTAAATGACCTTTTCAGCCATGCACCCTGGGGTGCTTGAGTTGGAATGGTTTTGAGGTTCGAGATGTTGAGTTTGGACGTATTGGATTACCATTGACATTTGAAATGTAAAACTACCTTTTAAGGGGTTTTTACAGTTAATCATTACTCTGTGTGTGTAAGTGATTCCATTTGTTTGCAACAATGGCTTCCTCCAAACTCTGGCTATGGAGTTGCTGGAGAATCATCTGGTTTGCTGTAGTTCTTGATAGTGCTAATCCCTGGAGCTTTGGAGCTGGATCAGGCCAAT